ATATATTGTTTATATAAATTTAAAATTTATTTATTTTTTTGGAAGATGAAAAAATGTTTGGCCAGTTGTTTTCCTCAAATTGTGTATTACTAATGTTGCTGTCCTAATCCCGGTCCATTGTTTGAACCTTTTGATAAAAGGACTGGACTTGGAACCGAAACACACCTTTTGCAATGTGGTGAGTTATCATTCATTTTTGAATGGCTACCCCATGAACTGAGGCAATGCAGCTCTGACACACACACGGGTTATAGCAGCCGGCATTAAATGGCGGACCGCGGTACGAACACGAACTGGGTGATTGTTTTGTTCAGACCTCAGCTTAATGAAAATTGTATTCACCGGACCTCCTTTAACTTTAATTCACTACCCCTGCGGTACAGAAACACAATGCACAGTAACATGTGACACAACACACAAGAACAGACGGGTCTTTATTGGCTCTAAGGCAGGGGTGCCCATTAGGTCGATCGGAAAGCGAACTCTGGTAGATCACGATCGGCTCACTGACCTGTCCCCTGTCCTCCCGCGGTGCAGCTGCCGGCTGAATGTATCAGACGCCGCAGACGGGAAGGGGGCGGGACACCTCTCCCCGTGTGCAGCGTCGGCCACACGAGCCCCGCAGGAGCACAGGACCCCAGCGCATGAGAGGAGACCCGGGAAGCTGCTGCAGTGGAGGTAAGAAAAGACAGACAGGAGAGAGACAGCAGAGAGAAGAGAAAGCATTGAGAGAGAGATGAGACAGCAGATAGAAACAGGGGAGAGAGTGAGGAGAGAGAGAGAAGAGACAGCCAAGAGAGAGGGCCGGTTCACACCACAAAGTCTGCGTTGCAGAGTGTTCAGCCTCTGGAACGCAAGCCGGCCGGCTCCCTGAGTTCAGGGGCGTGGTGGTGTATTGAAGTCAATGGCACCGCCCCCCGCCCGCAGTGTGATCGGCTGCACCTGGAACGCAGGCACATCGGTGCCTGCGTTGCTGTCCAGTGCGATCTGCAAAAATAGTGCTCGCAGCATTTTTGCAGATCGCACTGGACCAGAAAGCAGGCACTAATATGCCTTTGCTCCGGGGTGCGGACGATCGCACTGTGGGCGGGGGGCGTGGCTGCGGTGCCATTGACTTTAATGCACCGCCACGCCCCTGAATGCAGGTTTTTTTTGTTTTTTTTTGTTAGTAGATCTCATTGAGCTCGTCATTTGAAGAGTAGATCTCCAGAGGAAAAATTGTGGGCGCCCCTGCTCTAAGGTGTATTGCTTTTTGTCAGTCTGATGTGGGATATATATAATGGGGATCTTCCCAAAGGCTGGGTTCACACCTAGGCGTATCGAATATGCGCGTTGTGTCGCGTGTTTGACGACAAACACGCGTTTCCGAGGGCTACTTGGCTGTATCCCAATGGAAACGCGCGACAAAAACGCCCCAAAGAAGCTCCTGTACTTCTTTGGGCGTAGGGCGTTTTGTAGCGCGTTCATACGGCCTGTAATACGCCCACGTGTGAACCGTGCCCATAGAAAACAATGGGATTTTGGTGTTTGAGCGTTTTGCAGAGCGTAGGAACGCGCTACAAAACGCCCAGGTGTGAACCGGGCCAAACTTTATCTTCTCCCAATTCTCTTTAGAGCTTTACTGTAAACAGATAAAATGAGACAATAAAAAGTCAGTTTCTCTGCTATGCTGGAATGATCTCTCTCTCGTATAATTCTATCATTTTATCCATAAAGTTTTTTTGCTTCCGATTTTGTGCATTTTTTTCATTTGATATTTATTTTAATTCCGTTGTTCAGTGATGGACGGAATGTAGAATCTTGTATAAAGAATGTACAGTGCTTCATACTTTTCTCTTTTTTTTTTTTCATGAGTTAAGGAAAAATATAATGTGCCCTCTTATGATGTTCTTGTATGAATAAAGTTTTATTTATTGCATTGAAATGGGGCAATATGGGGGATCTTTTTTTAAATCATTGGCCTTGCTTGCTTCTTGGACTTGTTTCTCTCAGTATGAATTTTCTTTTTTTTCTTTTTTTTTTTTTTTCCTTTTCTTTCTGGGGGAAATGGTTCTTGGTGACATGCTAACTGTGATTTTGATCTTTGAGCAGCTGTACCATAAGAGGCTAATAAACATTTTATACAACCTGCTTTTTTTTTTTTTTTCCTTAATCTTTATTTTTTTTCTTGACTTCTGTGCCTTCAGGATCATTTTCTGCACGCATTTCATCTGCCTACTAATAAAAGATCTCTCATTTTCCATCCATGCTCAGAAACCTGTGTTGTGTTTTTAATTTAAAAGAAAGGGGGAAGTTTCGCTCAGTCGTCTGCACGGCCTGGAAGCCTTTATTTGGAGGCGAAGGGGAGCAAAAGGCCATGCAGAGCTCTCCTGTCCCTCTCCTACCACATGCAGCATCTCTCACAGTGGAGATAAGGGGCTGCAGACTGCTGGTAACTGTTAAAGGCGAACTTTGGGGTTAAGGCTTTTCCCCATAGTTCTCCTAAGGGTCACGGGAGGACACAAACTAGCGTCCTCCCGTGACCCAAAGCTCAGTATACCGCGAGCTACAGCTGTATACTGAGACGCAGTCGGAACGGATCCCGACATTGCTGTCAAGATCCACCCAGCTGCGGGATTGACAGCTGGCTCTGGCCCATCCGGAGGCAGAGCCAGCTGTGCCGCCCCGTCCGTTCTGCCAGTCAGCGCTGGAGGATCGGACAGGGGAGGGGGGAGAATCCCTGCAGGGAGCCGTGAGTGACAGTCACAGCTCTCTGCAGGGATAGATCGAGAAGTGAGCGAGCGCCGGTATGTGTTCGCTCACTTCCCGATCCACTGAGCCGACCTGGGACAGTCTCATTGTCACAGGTCGGCTCAGATTATGAGGTGAGTGAAAATCACTCACCTCGTAGTTCTCCTTTTTAAAGTGACGCTAAACTCAAGAGTTAAATCTTAAAAATACATTTAAGTACCTCAACTATTAACAACAATGAAGGGATTTATCAAAACGAGCAGACAAAATCTAGAGCAGCCGTGCACGGCAACCAATCAGCTTCTCTCTTTCATTTTCAAATCTTAACTGAACAAACTGAAGAGAGAAGCTGATTGGTTGCCATGCACAGATGCTCCAGTTTTGATAAATTCCTCTCAATGTATCTTATTTGTGTGTCACTCGGCTGTAGATCCTCCAATCATCTCTGAATTGGTGCTGACACTGTCCTTTCTGGAGGGGGGCTGCGTCTGTTCCCCATGGTCCCTGTGTGTGTTGTAAAGTAGTCACCGCTCCAAGCTCACTCCTGGGATGGACTACAATCTCATGTTTAGTTTACTCATTTGTATTGAGATTGTAGTCTATCCCGTGGGGGGGGTTGGAGCGGTGACTACTTTACAACACCGGGACCATGAGACCTCACTGCAGGAGGACAGGACGCCAGCGCACCAGAGGAGACCCGGAATGCTGCTGCAGCGGAGGTAAGAGAAGACAGACAAGAGAGACAGCAGATAGAAAAAGGGGAGAGAGAGAGAAGAGACAGCCAAGAGAGAGGGCCGGTTCTGAGTGTTCAGCCTCTGGAACGCAAGCCGGCCGGCTCCCTGCGGGAGGGGGCGTGGTGGTGCATTAAAGTCAATGGCACCGCAAGCATGCCCCCCGCCCGCTGTGCGATCCTGTGATGGACTACAATCTCCCGTTTAGTTAACTCAACTAAACGGGGGGGAGCTTGGAGCGGTGACTACTATACAACACACACAGGGACCATGGGGAACAGATGTAGCCCCCCTCCAGAAGGAAGGACAGTGTCGGCACCAATTCAGAGATGATTGGAGGATCTACAGCCGAGTGATACACAAATAAGATACATTGTTGTTCATAGTTATTATACTTAAATGTATTTTTAAGGTTGAATTCCGGAGTTTGGTGTCACTTTAACTTTGTTTTTATTTTATTTTAGTTTTAGAGAGATTGGGGGAGAATGAAAACACTATCTGGGCTTTATTGCTTTCCGAGGCCTTTTTTTTTTTTTTAAGCTCTCTGCTACATTGTCACAGAGAATTTTCTTCACTTCCCATCTGATGAAAACACAAAGAGCAACGGAAGCGATAGTTTTGTTTGTTTTATGGTGTTTTTTGCCTGTAGAGTTGGGGGAGGATGGAACTCCTGTCAGTTTTTAATACTCCAAACCAATCCTAGATAAAAGCTTCACCGCTCCTTGTACAAACATTCTAAGTCTTCATTCCAATCAGTAAACATTGTAATACTTTTCACATCCCGATACAATATACAAAATCTGCAATATACAAAATCTGCACTATGTATCAAAAACATTTGTAAGCAGCGAACCCCCCCCCGCTCCATAAAATGCATCAGGAAGGACAAGGTCACCCGACCGGAGATCTGATAAGAACCCTGCTCTGGTCTGATCCGGATCACATTCTATAAAGTGTCACGAGGAGTTTTTTTGGTCTTTCATTTAGAAGCTTTTTGTTGGTGTCTTTGTTGCAGATTTTGCTTCCTGTATGGGGAAACCGTCCTCCCTGAGAGGTGAATTCCCTGTAAGATAGTCTGGGCGTTGACATGACAGGAGTTCTGATCCTTCTACACAATACCAAGGACTAAAAAAAATAAAGTTTGTAGTTGCCGCAGCAGGTGGGCGGAGCTGGGAACTCTGCTTGCTGAGGGTGTTCCACCAACTCGCGTCAGGGCCCAGTCACACCATCAAGAGTGCGTTCGGCCTCTGGAACGCAACCCAGCCGGCTTAGTTCTTTGGGGGGGCGTGGCGGTGCATTGAACTCAATGTCAAAGCAGACACGCCCCAAAGCAGCTTTGCTGATTGAAGAGTTTTAGCTGATCTCTGCAGAGAGACCACTGCTTCCACCCACAGAGCCAGGATCCATCTCTGCAGCATGCTGGCAGGCGCCTGAAGAGTATTTAGATTATACGAACTGAAAAAACCATGTCTGAGCCAAACCGAGCGTGTGTCACGCACTTCCTCGGCTAAAAACTTGTTTTTATGTTGCAGCTTGGAGGGTGATGTGGCGAGATTCTGAGAGTTCTCTGCGCTCAGTAAGTTTTTTTAATGTGTTTGAAATAAAAAGAAAACTTCACTTCTAAAACCCATTTCTCTGCGCTCTGCTATGACCGTTCAGGCGGACGGATTATACGGCGCGAGGCAAATATGTCGGCGGAGAATTGACGCCTTTCTGCTGGCCACTTTAACATGGATTTTGGTTGCTTTTTTTTTTTTTTCCTAATTTGCCACTTTAGGATCCTAAGAACTATTACAGGTTTTTTTTAATTACATTTTTGCTTTTTTAGATATATAAAGAAGAGATCTACAGACCATCAAAGAAGAATAATGAAAAAGTAAAAATGTTGCATAGTTACGTAGTATTTGAGGTTGTAAATATGTAACAGTTTTGCTTTTTCATTATTCTCATTGATTCCCCCCTCCCCGCTCCGATCCGCCAGCGCTGACTGGGGGAGGGGGAGGGGGCGGGTACAGCTGGCTCTGCCTCTAGATAGGCAGAGCCAGTCGTCAGTCACGCAGCTGGGCGGATCCCGGCACAATTGTCGGGATCCGCTTCAGCTGCGGCGTCTCAGTATACCGCGAGCTGTAGCTCCCTATATACTGAGCCTAGGGTGATGGGAGGACGCTAGTTTGTGTCCTCCCGTTACCCTAAGGAGAACTATGGGGAAAAGCCTTAACACCATAGTTCTCCTTTAAGGGTCAGAGTGGCTGGAGAGTGTCAGATCGTATGTGGAAGGGAAGTCCAGAGAAAGGAGGAAGCACAGGAGAAGTCATGAAGGGAGAGAGAGGTGCCTAGAGTAGAGCAGAGACAGTTCGGAGGGTTATGTAGGTTACAGCTGGGATTGTGAACTCTCTTTTCTGAGACTGAGCTTGCGGTGTACTGAGCCTAAGGTGACGGGAGGACGCTAGTTTGTGTCTTCTGGTTACCCTAAGGAGAACTATGGAGAAAAGACTTAACCCCATAGTTCTCCTTTTAAGGAAGTCACCAAAATACATGTTAAAGTGGCCAGCAGAAAGGTGTCAATTCTTCGCCGCCATATTTGCCTAGCGCCGTAGATCTCAGCTTTATAAATTCACAGGACAAGCCAAGTCCTAATCTGTGAAGCTAAATTCCCTGTAGTGCTTTCTAAATAGCCCCCCAAATTTCTGTAATTGACTTAAAAGTGGTTCAGCAAGGGTGCAGAGTGCACAGCTTGATCTGCAGATGGCCACTAGGGGGAGCAGCTCCTATTCCTACATGATATAATTGGAAAAGTTATGACATGAGAGGAAAGGGACACAGGGCACATTGATATATATATATATATATATATCAATCATACACAGGGTCCATGTGGTATATGATATAATGTTGCACTGCGCAGGTATTAATTAATATTTGTCGTCTGTTGAATGATAGCGATGACGCGGCGGTTATAGCAGAGCGCAGATCACTCGCCACCCAGCTAACATCCCACGTTTGGGGAGACCATTTTGGCTGCTTTGACCTTTCTTGGGCAATAACTGTCACGCTAACCTCCCACCCTCCTCTCCTATCTGGCTGACTAACTACTGTGCTGCTGGTTCCTCCATGATCCCATAGACCTTCCTGTCTTCCCATGGGGGGGTCCTTCTCACTCCACTCCTGCAGCTCCATTCTGAAGATGGATGGCGGCTCCTCATCTTTCTCATCACACTAGGGCTCCACTCTCGGGTTGCTTTGCTCTCTCTTGCTCACTTGGGTCTTGACACCTTTTTACGTTTTCCTGTTGGGTTTTATTGTATTGTTTAGCTGAATTTAATTATTTTATACGACTTTAATATTGTTACTTGACATTTTGTGCTGCACTACTAAACCGGAAGAATGGCGCATCACATGACGTGTCACATGGTGTGCAATGACTTTACACCAAGAGGAGAATGTACATGTAATAGTAGTTTTAGTACATCATTGACACACTTTGACTTATTTTAAAGGGTTAGTCCGCACCAAACCGATTTATCAGGTTAAACCCCCTGACACTTTATTTTATAGAAAGGAACTCCCTTCTTCAGGGCCAACATAAAAAAAAAAAAATAATTGTAGATCATATACAATATTATCTAAGGTAATTCTTATCAGTGAAACCAGCCTTTCCCCTGACACGCGTTGGATGATGCTCTTCACCAATAAATGTTTTAAATGAATTTCAACCATCAATTACAACTTTTTGTTCCATGCTATTTTTTTATGTTGCGGTCTGCGTGCCTGGCAGTTTTATGGCTTGTGCCATTTCCTGTCACTGTTCCTGGACAGCTTAGTCTACATGCCAGTTTGGAGACCATTATGAAGAAATGCGAAATTAAAGTAGTATTAAGATCTGGGCGTTTTTTACCTTAATGCATTCGGGTAAATAGGGTAAAACGGCCCAGCACCTTTTTTCTCCCCCAGTCCCCCCACACTTAC